ACCTACCTCACTGTCCCTCCTCCTTTATCCTTCTCAAAGGCGTGGCCCGGGGGAAAAGGCAGTGCAGAACTTCCGTTTCCCAGAAAACCCACCTCAGGCCTGATTCTCTGCTCGCCCCCAGCTATAAGGAAGAAGGCTGCCACACAGCCTCCCGCTCAGGGCACTGTGCGGCCCTGCTCCCAACTGCGGGGCCCCGCCCAGGTCACCAGCTGTTGCTCTTTGGAGGCTGCAAGTCAGCGGAACCAGAAGTAGCCGGGCACTGGAGTCCTGGGAAGATCACGGTATCAGCTGCTCAGCACGCTTTGGGTTGGAGGGGCTAAAACTCAGCCCAACCTCTCCCCACAGCCCCAACTCTCTCCCCCAAGGAGGAACCACCTGCTGCCCCCCATTTGACGGAACAGCTTGCAAAGCTTGTGAGCAATGGGCAGGGGTCCCGGCAGGGGCCCGCGGGACTGCGGCATCACTCCTGTTCTGTGGTGGGGCCCTTTGCTGTGCTGTTTGGTGGAGAGGCTCTGAACAGAGCTAGAGACGCCGTCTGCAATGACCTCTACATCTACGATGCCCGTGAGACACGGCTAGTGGCGGAGGAGGGGAAGGTGGGACCATGGGAGAGCCTGAAGCTAGAGAAAGGACTAGGTAGAGTGGTGGGGCAAGGAGAGGTTGGCAAGTTACAGGGATACACAGAATACTGCATTTTGCAGAGGCCCGCCAATCAAGTGAGGAGAAAAAATGGGCAAGCCTTTGGTCTTAGAGGTGCCCAAACCACTCTCTGCCTCACCAACAGGCAAGTCCCCTCCTCTGTGGTTCCACTTCGCCTGTGCAGACCGCGGGCTGAAACGCACAGGCCATCAGACCTGCCTCTGGAACGATCAGCTTTACCTGGTTGGGGGTTTTGGTGAGGATGGCAGGACGGCTAGTCCACAGGCTTGCATCCTGGACATCTTGATCTAAAGAATGGTGCCAAGACACACTGCCAAGCCTGGTTTGTTGTAAACTCATAAAGCATTATCACCAGAGTTACCTGCCTCGTGTCAAATGCTCATTAAACTTCAATGTGAAAGTCAACATTTGTCTCTGAATCTTTTGGGTGAGGGCAGTAAGTAAGTAAGTAGACACATCTTTATTTGCAAGGGAAAGGATCAAATAAGGGACCTCCTCTGATACTGCGAGCCATTAACCTGATGGGATCAAAAGCCACAAATCATATGCTTTTCCCAGCCCCCATGCAAATTTCAGCCCTAACAGTGGGAGAAAGCTTCAGGCTAGAGCTAAGCATTCTGACCAAAACATTTAATTAACAAAAAAATATTACAATAGCAGAGAAAATAATAACAATAAAGAGAAATTAGAAGAAGTGGGAGTCAGGGTAGAAGAGATGCCGGGGCCTCAGTCCTAGGAGACCAGCACCCCGGCCGAGCTGGCCTTGGCCCCAGCCCCTTCGGAGTTGGCCTTGGCCGGCTTCTCGTCCTCCCCCATGAGACGAATGTTGTGCTTTTCCCGAAATTCATTGAGTTCTTTTCCCTTTGCCTGGAGCTGTTGTGTCAGTGTCTCAATGATCTTCTGTATCTAGAGGACAAGTGACAGAGATCCTATAAGAACTCCAGGACTCCCTCCCCCACCGCGTAAGGACTACAGTTGACACCTCTAACTCCACCTTTAACCTGGAAGTAACAGTAGACCCTGAAACCAAAAGGATTCCTTTCTCAAACACAACGGTCCATATACTTTAGTGCACATAAGAATCACCCAGGCTGCTTATTTTAAAAATGGCACTTCAGGGCTGGCCGAGTGGCACGATGGTTAAGAACTGGCTTGGGACGCCAGAGGGCCCCAGTTCGGATCCCACATATGAGGGCCAGTGACACTGCCATCTACAGCTAAGATGCTGAACAACAGCTC